TAACAATGCTACACAAGCCAAATTAGAGAGCGCAAATTACTTAGCTACATAAACTAAGCAATATGATTAACAAGATTACTAAAAACAAATTAGCCACACAAGGGAGCTACTTCTATGCTACACAAGCAAGAAGGTAAGTAGCAAGCTACACAAGCTAACTAATTACAAGAGCAACTACACAAGCATAATGTATATGAAAGTAATTACAAGCTTGTGTAAGGGAATTGCAAACCAACGGAAAGACAAGGACAACACGATGATTTTATCCCAAGGTTCACCTGGTTGCCAACACGCTAGTCCCCGTTGTGTCGACCACTCACTTGGTGGTTCAGCGGCTAATTGGCATCACCCGCCAAGCCCGCACGTCGGGCACTGCAAGAACGTACCCTAAAAGTGAGGGTAGCTCAATGACACGCTCAACTAGAGTTGCTCTTCGCGATACCCATGGGGTGAGCACAATCCCCCTCACAAATCCTCCTTCGAAGCACCGCAGAATCTTCTTGCGTGCTTCAATGGAGTCACAAGGCACCAAACCATCTAGGAGGTGGCAACCTCCAAGAGCAACAAGCACCACCGGCTTGCAACTCAATCACCTAGTGCCACTCGATGCAATTACACTAGAATTGCTCACTCACTCAATTAGATGATCACTATCAAGCACAAGTGAGTTAGAGGGCTCCCAAACACCACCACACAAGCCACCAAGGCTCTAGTGTGCTTAGCTACCAGCATAAGGCCGCCCACCACTTCTATTTATAACCCCACGGCTCAAAAGAGCCATTACCCCTTCACTGGGCCTTCATTGCACCGACCGGATGCACAGGTCCACCTGACCGGACGCACAAGCTCAGTGTTCCGTTGCTTGATTTTCGCCACGTGTCCCCGTGGTTCAAGCTCGCGCGCTGATCTTCAACGGCTACTTTGTGCGCCAACGGTCAAGTGATGACTGGACACAGCGAAGGCTTGACATGATGCGTGCCTTCCGCGTCCACTCATGCGCCTCCGCGTGCCACCAAGCCAAGGACCGGATGCGCCACCACGTGAAAACCGGACGCACCACTGCCTATGTCCGATCATTTCTAGAGAGCTACCGAGGAGGCCGAAACATGACCAGACGCATCAGGTTAGTCATGACCAGACTCAGCGCTTGAGTCCGGTCCTTCTCCGCCTGCCACGCATTATTGCCGCTCTCTCGCGCCATAACGTCAGTGTACGTCACGCCTGACCGGACGCCTGACCTCCAAGCACCTGCGTTCGGTCAATTAACCAAGACTGCACCCCTTCTGCTTACACTGATTGGACATGCAAGTCCTATTGAGGCCAGTGTCTGGTCATCTCCTAAGACCTCCTTTCGCCTCATTTTCTTCACCGAGTTGATCCACATCAACTCTAACTTCTTCTCCTTTGCAAATGTGCCAACACCACCAAGTGTACAACACCTTACGCAAGTGTGTTAGCTTTTCACAAACATTTTTCAATGAGTTAATCACTCAATTCACCGTGCCACTCGATCCTAACATGTATGCAAAGTTAGATCGCTCAAGTGGCACTAGATGATTGATATGCAAACAAGTTTTTCCCTCTTAATAGTACGACTATCTATCCTAAACCCGGTCATAAACTTCTCTACTCACATATGGCTGGTGAAATGAAATGCCCTAGGTTATACCTTTGCCTTGCACATTCCATTCCATCTCCTTCGATGTCGATGCAACACATGCACCAACCATATCACAAATGATATGATCCACTTCATATCATCACGTGACCATATTGGTTCATCGATCTTGACTTTACTTGCTCTTCACCGTTGCCTCGGTCCATCGGCGCCAAGTCATCACTCAACTTGCCCTTCACACTTGCAACCAGTCCGTCGAGCCAAGTTTTGTATTGATCTTCTCTACCTTGATCATATGACTCCATGTCATGTCTCATATGCAATGAGATCCTTCATCACATGTGTAAGCCTTGCAACAAATCCAAGCCATTTCACCTCCATGGTATAGGTTGCTCACACATGATGTACTTGTGGACTAATTACCTGTATATCTTACTCAAACACATATTAGTCCACCTAAGGTTGTCACTCAATTACCAAAATCAAACAAGGACCTTTCAGAGACCCAGTTACAGACACAGACGCAGATACTCGTTGATGAGAGCGTAAGCTATAACACTAAAATTTTCACTATACGAACTTAGGGTTCCTTGTGGTGGAACCTGTTCGCCCGGGTTCAAGTCTCCGACTTGACACGGGTGCTCGTATTTTCTTGGATTTATTTTAGAATTTAACGGTTCTATTTTTTCAGCGGTAGACGACGTGCCCGTTGACAGCGAGACGCCTGTGGTGACTTCGTCAATCTCAAGATTTGCTGGTCCAACTAAGTTCTCGGAGGTACTTATAGGGGTAGTGTGTGTGTGTGCGCATTCATAGGGGTAAGTATGCGCTCGTGTATATGAGCGTTTGCGTCTATAACTGGGTCTCGCAAAATACACACACTAAGTTTCATTGTAGTATTTTTTAAATTTCTCAGTTTCATGCAAATCTTAGAGCTGAACAATTTGTTATTTAACTACTTTTTATAACTTTAATTATCGGTAACATACTACTCTAAACTATATTTTAAACCTATGAATTGAATTTTGTTTATGTGAAAGTGGGAATACCCAAGATTGAAATCCTGGCTCCGCCACAAATACATAAGCTAGTCCAAGCACCGGACAAAATCTTGTTTTGGTTAGTGGCCCTTTTTGTTGGAGAGGTGGAGAAAGACTGCGCTAAATTCCATGTCTATTCCTCTATTTTCTTATTCTTTCCTTTGTCTAGCTTCCTCTCCAACCTCGCATTCTCAATTGGGTTGCGGCCTGTAGGTTTTTGCAATAGACCTAAATAGAGGGTGGCCATTTGTAGCAAGATTGCTTTGGGTGGTGAGGGTTGTCCGCTAGTCTTGATGGCCCAAAGAAATATAATAGGCCAGGGTGAACTAGCCTAATTATTTCATTCATTAATCATTAATCATTTCACATTTTTATACATGCCGAAATGGTCAAGTGCCCAACTTGAGCCCATCTTGAAAACTCCGTGCTGATGGGTGTCCATGGGCGAGTATGAGCACAGTTTTTTTTTCCAAACAACTTGGGCTTTTTGTGGGTCCACTTGCAGTTTGCTTTAGGTCTCAAAAACTCTGGCTTGTTGTTCCTCTCCTTAATTTTGGCCATGTTCGGCTGTTCATATAAGCCGGCTTATAAGCCGGTTTATCAGTCATTGTATAGTATTTTTCTCTCCTAATAAATCAGCCGTACAAATCAGCACAAGCGGCTTATATACCGGCCGTTAAATGATAGAGTAGTGCTCCTGCTGATTTTCTTCAAAAAAAAAAAACATGTCCATGCAGTAGGGCTGCCTAATGTCTTTTGAAGGTACAGGCTTATCCATGTGAGAACTAGGCATTGGAGCCAACAAGCACAACTGGGCTGATAAAGCAAGAGCTACCTATCTCATATTGGATGTCTAAATGAAACGTGTAGTGCAAAGCTTTTTTTTGCGTGTGGCTGCGAGTGATAAATAATAACGGCAAGCATTGCTAGCGCACCTTCATCTTGGCGTATGATGGCTCGTGTATGTTTACTCCCTCTAGTCGGCAATAAGTATCATCTTTGAGTTTGTGGCCAACATATCCTTATGAAAAATTCTGTTTTTCTTTTTTCTTTTTTCTTTTTATAAATGGTACGACCATATTTTTTTTCTTAATAGTAGTTTCAAATACTAGTACAATTTTGGTACATTTTGAATGCATTATTTGTGACCAGAGGCATTATGACTAAGTATATAATCTCTACATTCCGAATTATAAGTCGTGGCTTTTCTAGTTGTTTTTACTATGTACTCCTCCAGCCCCCCCCCAAAAAAAATCGTATCCCAAGAAGTCAAAGATTCTTAATTTTGATCAAAATATATATAAAAAGTATTGATGTTTGTGATGTGTAATAAGTATCATTAGATTTAATCATAAAATATATTTTCATAATAAATCTAATTAGAGATCTAAATATAGATAATATTTTCTATAAACTTAGTCAAACTTAAGAATCTTTAACTCCTCGTGAAATGAGATTTACATTTTCTTTTTAGGACAGATGGAGTATAATTGTATCTAAACATGGTGTATATCTAAATGCACAACAAAAATTATGTATTTAAAAAGCCAAAACATCTTATAAGTTGGAGTGGAGGGATTATTACTTAGGGAATAAGCATTGTCTCCTAGCGTTCTTTTGTCTCTTAGCTAGGCCAATCTCGCTGAGAGCCTCGTAGGCGTTAAATAAGCTACCGACTTAACAAATGTATTGATATGTCGCAATATAAATGAGGAAAGAGATGTGATAAGTTTTATGGATATAAAACTGTTTTCAACGTACGAGTCTTCGAAAATGGGACATGAAACACTCGCTGAAACTGGAATTTCCCTTGCAAGTCTATAGACGCAATGGACAGCATCACATGATTAGTGTGCTCTACTTTGTTGTGCCGTATGTTGTACGGTGCTTCTCCAAATATCCCCAAGATGGCCAGATGATGAGTCTTTGGCTTCCGTTCGGCATGTTTTGTCGAGTCTTTCACGGAGCCATAGTGGCGCAGTTATCCAAGTTTGCGCCTGGGCATGGGAAGATACGATATATATGAGCAATTATCATCACCGTCTTGTTAAACAAAAGCCCAGGCCGATCAAGTGGTTACACAATCCATTCGGATTCAGAGTTTCAGAAGCTTAAATGCTATAGCAAATTAGGAATCCACTACTAATTTTTTAGTTTTTTCTTAGAAGATACAAATCTAGCTAGAGAATAATAATAATGCTCAAGGTGCACACACGCATGCACGGTTTCTACAGGATTGATGAGGATAAGCAACTGACGAGCGGCATTATCTCATTATCATCATGACAAGATCGACGACCAGCGGCAAGGGAGCAGATCAATCGTCTACCTCGTGGATCGGATCAGAAGACCAAGAACCGCTTCTTCGTCTTCTTGCCTCCGCCGCAACCGCCGCCGCCACGGGGGCTGCTGCTCCCGGCGATGGAATCGGCGGCGGCGAGGTTCTTGGCGATGAGCTGCCGCGCCCGGCGGCTCCTGATCTCCACCCTCATGCTCTCCGTCTTGTCCACCTTGTCGTAGCACGCCGCTGCCGCCGCCGTCTTCTTCCCGCCGCCGGCCCCGCCCAGCTTCTCCTTGATGCCTTCCACCAGCCTCGCCAGCTTCCCCATCGATCACCGTCGTCCGCCGCCGATCGAGCTGCGCGCTCCCTGAGATTATATCCCTGCACCAAACTGAAGGCCGCCGAGCACGGCACAGCCGCGACGGTGCTTTAGCATTCGTGATGCACGACGCGAGAGAGAGACTGGTGGTGGAAACGACGACGGTGAGGAGCTAGCTCATCTGCGTACGGGATGGGGATGAAGCCGCGCGCCGCCGCCGGAGGAGGAGGAGGAGTACGCACGGCAAGGCGGGTGAATGGGTGATCACTGATCGATGCGCGCCCGCTGGTCAAATGCAGATGCAGTTGGGTTCGGGTGAGAACTAGCCAAAGGCTCTCATCACGACGCGCACGCAGCGCAGGCAAGGCCAAGGCGCCAAGGCATCCATCTCCTGCAGGACTGCGGGTACGTACGGTTACTGCTACTCGATTGCGATAGCTACAAGCCTGCAGGGCGCGCAGGCTGGCTCGCGGCCAGCCGGCCAGGTGCTACCGTGCGTCCGTGCCAGGTCAATTTGCCAACCATGAACAGCGGGCACGGAATATGACCGGGAGTTAGAGAGTTGTCTCCATCTTTTTTTTTTTGAAACTACTAGAAGTGGTGGCATGGCATGAAATTTATAATAAAGAGAGAATAAGTTTTATCACGATGAGGCATGGTGTACACGGTTATCAAGGTTATGAAACTAGAATGGAACCCCACTAAAAGTAATTTGTTTCATCTCCAAACTTGTTGCTCTCGACATCACGAAACAATTATGTATCTATTTGGTTGCTTGTATCATATAATTAGTATATATTATGTCATATTTGTGTTTAAATAGCCAATTAAAGCTTAATAAGAAAAACTAAGATTACTAAAATATCCTTGTACTCAATAAATACAACAATTATTTTTTTTTGTCTTACATCTTTTATATCAAGTGACACAACCAAACATTGTATCGGTAAATCTGCTCAGTCAGGATGGACAAATACACTAAGCAACAAAATAAAACGGCCAGTTGGTTTAAATGAGCCTAGCTCGCTCTAGGCTATCCTAATCATCACCCTGTTCGTTTATGCTGAAACTTAGCTTATGCTGATGCTTATGTTAAAATATTGTGAAAGAAAACACTATTTCATGACTGAAAAGTAGCTCAAGCGAACAGGGTGCATATCGTTAGCTAGGAGCCACCTTGCATCGAGTGTCGTCTCGAGAGCCATCCGGAGTGGCACCTCCTTGACCGCCACAATTTCATTTTTTTTAATATCCCTTTATATTTCGAACACCCAGCCTCAAAATACTAGGCCCGCCACCGTTGAGTGAGATAGGGCCACGAAAAACGGAAATGAAACTCGTTTCTCAAGAGCCAGACTGATGGTGCCTTTTGTAACCTTTATTGTAGCCATGTTCAAATCTTTGTTTAGGTAGCCAAACAACATAAATTTATATCCCATAAGCCTAGACTGGTTTTATACAGGTAGCCAAACATGCTACAAATGTTTTTGGTTGGTCTATGGAACCGCAAGATGAAATTGTACACTGAGAGTTTCATTTATGAATATAAATCTCATATTACACTTTAGAATTTCACTTATCTATACTATAAAGGAACGAAAAAAATAAAAATAACCTCTCACCCTGATATTTCTACCTTAATTTCTATCCCTTAGATCTACATTAAAATCAGATATAACACATGTAAATCATACATCGTGATCTAACAAACGGATCCAGTCAAAAAAATCTGTAAACGTTTACGCGTATTTCTTTGACCCTGTATGCTTGTTTCATGAGCTTCTGTTTAAACAAATAGTATTTTTTTTTTCTCACACCGCAGTACTCACTTTCAGCGATGGTTCAGCCGAGCAAACGGGGCCGTCTTGCTTTGGATGTTTTTCTCACCGTGCTTGACCCTACCCGCCCGCCGTAGATATCCCATCTGTTCGCCTCCGCTAATCCGCTTCATCCCATGCCCATCGTCCGTTCGATCTCCGTGCAAGGCGAGCCGCTACCTCTTACCAATCAATGGCGGAGCCGAATCGACAGCATGCGGTCGTTCATGGAGGTGCCGGCGGGCTCGCACTTCCCCATCCAGAACCTGCCCTTCGGGGTCTTCCGCCGGCGGGGGATGCAGGCGCCGCGCCCCGCGGTGACCACGAGGGACTTTGCGCTCGACCTCGCCGCCGTCGCCGACGCGGGGCTCTTCGACGGGCCTGCGCTCTCCGGCTCCCCGTGCTTCCACCAGGTGCCTACTCTACTCTTTAGCCCATGTTTCTTCATAGAAGCCATTGACGACAATCTATATAACCAAGGAAACATTTTTCTTGGCAGCAACAGAATAATAGTTGCTTAATCAATTTATAGCCAGAAACTCAAGCACATAAGATCTGAATCTCAACTATGGATAACAATTTTCTGAATTGAGTGGCGGCCTCTAGCGTGTAATTCAGTGATATATCCATTATTATGCAGTTCAGAATGCCATGCTCTCCTTATGATTATCCAGGCAACAAAACGTATGCTTTTTATCTGTCCAAATAAGCTGCTGGTTTTGATAAAGTAGTTGAGCGCTGCCCTGTTGCAAAGAGACCTCCAAGAGTTCCTGTGCCTTTTTTATGGCACTGTATCATGACTTGTTTTTTCATAAAGATGAGGGCATATTGGGTTTTCCTGAAGTAGACAACTTAGTGCAGGCTAATCTGGTATTACCCAAAAACTTGTCTGTACATTCCAAATCTGGAGATGCAGAACCATCGCAAGCAAATGTTGCATCCTTGCAACTTCATGTGCCAAGGATGACCCAAATGTTGAGACAATATGTGGAAGAATTTGATATGAAATATCAGAGTTTATCATCTGACATGAAAGTGGATTATGATCAACCGTACTTTTTCAGCCAATGAACGGTACTTTTCTCTCACACCAAATCAGCAAACAGTACTTTCAGCCATGGCTTATCAGCCAAACAAGCCTAAACGAAGAGGGCGTTAGCTTTTAATGGCACTGTCAAACTGACACGATTCGTGAGTGAACTATGCCTTACAAGGGTTCTGATCCGAGCTTTCAAGGAAGGTTCTTTCGAAGAGGGTGCTGTTGTTTGAGCCCCATTTCCTTCAGATCGTTCAGCTTGGGAAATCAGGTCAACATCCTGTGTGTCCTTTTATATCAATACATATATTGTCAAAAAGAAACTTCAATCGAATATATGTCAGTACGCAAAATGTGAATATTTGTTTTTCCATGTAGGTGTGTGCGTCTGGCATGGCAAGGGACCTGTCAACTGGCCCTGCCTTCTCTTTTCATGAATGATGTCCTTCCTTTTGAAGGACACTCACATGTATAAACAAGACTTAACTGGCCATGGAGAAGCCAATCGTCGTTATCAGCGCAGCTGCTTGTTGATATTCCACCTGAAATAGAGTTGTCCGACTACCGGAGATTGCCAAGTTCTGGAAGTAAGAGCCCATTGGGACTTCTCCATGGTGAAGGCTTCAAGAAGAACCTATCCCTGATTTGAATATTTTCTTTAAATGCTTTACGAATATTTCTGTGCGCAAGGGCTTAGGTGTATCATTACCAAATGGATAATATAGATCCTTAATGTACTTTTTATGGTCTGCTGTATCGGGTTCTTTTTCTTATTGTTGATTGGGATACTCTTATTCATTTGAAATGTGGTGTGGAGGCAATTGAATCTGGGGAGAAACCATGCGATACGATGAAGGTCATTAAGCACGATCCATTAGTTCCCTTTGCATTGCTCAAAATGATAATTGTTGGATCAATGGTCATAATGACAGCTTATGGACTTACCAACTTCCTCAAGTTCTTTGTACAGTTAAGAAGTACACTCAATGTTATCAGTTCTACTATGACAAATAACTTTTCTGCTTATGTTTTTCATGCTTAATTATTTTTTTGTTTATCTCAGAGCAATGACTTTGCCCTTATTCTGTTTACCTTCATGCAGACTTAAGGCCAATGATCTTGAGATTCATACTATATATATGATGGCCCAAAATAACCGAGAAGGTTGTCCTGCTCTAGAAATCTCAAAAACTTTGTGTTGTAAGGGATCTCTCAAAGCATGATCTTATCATGGGAATCATGAGGAAAGAAAATTATTTTATTGGGATGGTCAATAAAGGCATTCTTTTATTTTAAATACATTCTTGTGTGCGTGGGGCTAGCCCTACTGTTGGATCACATAAGCATGGCAGGAGAAACTATCTGATACTTCCAAAGGCCCTCGAATGGACCTTAAATTGGTGCATCTTTCAAAGTATGTTTGATAGGTAAGGAAATCTGTAAGTAGAGCCCATTTTTTCAATTATAGAGTAGATATGAGGACAATTAGCCATTTAGGAACTGCCAGCTTCGTTAAATACAAGACATGTTTGTAGGAGCACATGATAGTTTAAGTGTAGAAGGCGGCTTAACATGGACATAAGGTCGATATATAGAATATTGCTGCTGGACAATCATGGTTACAATCATCTGTATTGTACAACGAATATTTGCTTTGCTTCTTCATCCTTATGAATCAAATACTACAATTAAAGTGTGCAAAAATCATGGTTACCTCATTCGCGTGATGTCACTGTGTCTGGATTCAGGGGCTAAAGTTTAGTCGTGTCGCATCGGATGTTCGTATCGGATGTTCGGATGATAATTAGGAGGACTAAACATGAGCTAATTATAAAATTAATTGTACAGGAGTAGACTAATTAGCAAGACAAATCTATTAAGCCTAATTAATCCATAATTATCGAATGTTTACTGTAGCATCATGTTTTCAAATCATGGACTAATTAGGCTTGATAGATTCGTCTCGCAAAGTAGCCTCAATCTATGTAATTAGTTTTATAATTAGTCTATGTTTAATACTTCTAATTATATCAAACATTCGATGTGATAGAACTAAACTTTTACCAAAAAAAAACAAACACAGATCTTTCTAATAGACACGTGCCTCATCTACTAGTATCAATATAAATCTCATGTTACACTTTTGTAAACCTTTTAATAAAACAATGCACTCAAAATGGCCTTACTGACACGTGGGATTTTTTTTACCCTGGCAAGGCACACCATCCTAGAGCCTTGATTCTCGATAATGGCCTGCATTGGAGAATGCATACGTGTCCTTGCTTCCTAGCCCTAACGCTTCGTACTTTCGTAGCCAACGTTTGTAGTGAGAGAAGCAAGAAATGGAGTCATATTGCACAAGAATCACACTGTAGAATAATGCTAGTAGGATTAGCCTAACAAATCAGAAGATCGTTTATCGTATCAACAACCAAGACGAGCTTTTTGTCTGCATCATCAACAGCCGCGTACCAGGAAAGCAACCTCTCCATGTTGCCGTACGGCGATACCCTTCAACCGCCAGCGCCCGTCGATCGGCCATCTCCGGCGGGTCAGGCTACAAGAACTCGTGCAACGACGACGACGCCCAACCCGTACGCACAGGTCCTCTCCATGACTCTCCAACTGCCGCTGCCGGCTGCTCAGGAGTCAGATCTTCCGTAAAGAAGTGATGAATTGGTATTAGTAGTACATATGGTCAGATACTCAGATGATTGGGACAAAAACTAGCAGAACCTCAGAAACTCTTCAGAGTTCAGACTGACTTAATGCAAGTGATTGCATTCATGTTTTATTAGTGCCTCATCTGTGAGCTCACATCAAGTGAGTGCTGCACGTTGGCAGGAAATACATCTCATTTCAACCTTTGGATCGAGGTAGACAACAGGATGTTGAAGGGCCTATGAATGTCGATATGCACAGTTTACTGTTTAACTCTTTTCTGTTGGTGCATTTGCAGCAGAAGCATTAACGATTTCTAACTATCTATATTTTCGAATGCTTTGCCTGGGCTGCCTGGCTGAACTCCTTGCGCAGGACTCTCCTCATGACCTTGTTAGAGGCGGTTCTAGGGAGAGATGGGACCACAACGACGGAGGAAACCTGCATACATAGGGGGGAGCAATGGAGTCCTTAGGGGATTTCTGTGGTTTGCCAAATCAAAACCTGGACAGTTTTTACAGGAACAATGCACGCACCTTGAACAGAGGGTTCAGTTTCTTCAGAGCCACGTTGAATGCTAGTTTCAGCTGGTTCCAGTCCTCTACTTGTGAGCTCTGGTCTTTCAACACGACGGCTATGGTTAGTTGTTCAGGGCCACCCCCTACAGGTGGAACCCCGATAGCTGCTGTTTCAACGATGGCGTCATGTACTCTGTTGCAGATCCTCTCAATCTCAATGGAACTAACCTGAAAGTGATGATGAAATTCCATGTCTGGATCAGGAAATGCTACATTGCATTGCGTAGTTGCATATTTCCACAACACATTGCATACCTTAATTCCACCAAGGTTCATTGTATCATCTGCACGCCCATGAGCCCTATAATACCCGTCAGAAGTACGCTCAAATTCATCTCCATGCCTGCGGAGGATCTGCATTTTTACAATGTTTAGGGGCTCAACCTTTACACATTAGCAAGGAGCAAAGAACACAGATACATACTTTCCCGTGCCATTCTGGCATTCCGTTGAAATAAACCTCCTGATGATCAGCATTCAGAAGTGTTGTTGATGATCCAAATAAAGTTGGATCAAGTGCAAGTTCACCAATACCCACACAGTCTTGTGGCTATGAAGATTGAAGAGAAGCACTAACATCAGCTCTGACAGTTATTTTCTTATGAGATTTGTGGAAGCTAACAGACTAGCAAAGAAGAATCCAGATATAATGTGTATCAAAATTTGCAAGCAGTACATGAACACAGTAGGACATAATGCTAGGCTAACGCTGATATAAATGTAGAGATGTCTAGTGCTAACATTCCACACCCAGGAATCCATGCTATGCATTGGTATGAAAATAAGATATATTGATTTTTGAAGAAAAAAAAAAGACAAAAGGTGAATTCAGGAAAAATCCTATTCCATCATTCCATGAGCTTACCAAAGGATTCCCGCTGCTATCAAGAATGAATAGGTTACAACCCATGGCAGGTGTGCTGAATGCAGACAACGCTTGAGGTTGCAGCAAGGATCCAGTAACAAATCCACCACCAATCTCTGTGCCTCCACAGTACTCAATTACTGGCTTGTAGCCAGCTCTTCCCATCAGCCATAAATAATCATCCACACTGGATGCCTCCCCAGATGAGCTAAAGCATCTGTATATAATGAATATGACCAATAAAAACTGTATGCCATACAAGATGTGTAATATGCAAGTTAAGACAGAAAAGGACTGGAGAGTTGAGCAATTAAGAAATATTACCGGATGGAGGACCAGTCTAGTCCAGCTGTACAGTCTGTATTCTTCCATATACGAAGCGATGCTGGGTACCAGTCCAAGCATTGTCACCTTAGCATCCTGGAAATTAGGTAACTATAAGTAGGAACAAGATTGCAATGAATGAAAATAGAATACCATTAAACTAAATTTTAATAAAAATCAGAGACATTGTGGAGCGATATACATAGAAACAATGCAAACTGGACAGTTTCATGCCTGCACTATTCATTTTTCATAAGGATCCACAAACATATGAGTGAACCAAGTCAAACGATTGAGGTTCATGATGAGTACCCAAAAAAGCTTAACTGGAATAGCAAACCATGCATAGAAAACTTTGTGCATTCAGTTTATGTTCTAGCTATTTGGGATTGATATTTAGACAGTATAATGTATACGAACACAATTGTGAAATGGTCCATAATTTCTGTCATTCTGACACTAATTTTGTGAATTAAGCTGTCTATTTTCTGTACCTGTACAAACTTTGCAAAGCCTGAACTATTTGGGGAGCCATTATACAGAGCCATGGAAGCTCCATTCAGTAAGGAGGCATAAACAAGCCAAGGACCCATCATCCAACCAAGATTAGTTGGCCATGAAACAACATCTCCTTTACGAATATCCATGTGACACCATCCATCCGCAGCTGCCTTTAGGGGTGTTATATGTGTCCATGGAATTGCTTTGGGCTCCCCTGAATATGGAGAAGTGTCAGAAATTTTTGTACAAATATATTTTAAATGCACTAATTGATCAACTTGTTATCATCATAAATTTGATCTGCCATTGGCCAGTTTGAAGTATGCAGCTGTATACCTAATAATTGCATATGGACGAGACATGTCAGAACTGACAAAATTATTAAACGTCATGTTACCTGTGGTCCCTGATGAAAATAGGACATTGGTGAATGCATAGGCAGGTTGCTTAACAGCAGTGTAATTTTCCGCCCTGCAGTTTTTTTTTTGTTCTATCAGTGAATGCCCAATAGAAATAGCATCAAGTTATTCCAAGGAAACTAGGTGGATTTCATGAGTTAACTAATTTCTTTCCAGACTACTTAACCAAACAACTAGTGAGCTTATTGAACATTGCACATTGTGAAAATAATCTAGAACTGCGCTCAGTCAAATTCACTCTAGAAATCGTTGTTCAGATAACACAGGAAAGACTGTCGTAGAACCTGGGCTTCTACCCAAATTTCAAGATATGATAAGAAAATAACTCACTCGGTATGATTAACCTTTCCAAGGAAATCTTGCCAGGAAAGGTCGTCAACACGTAGTCCCTTTATTGGCAAAGACCCCCTTACAGGAATCACAATTGCCATAGGGGCCTTAGCCTCCACAACTCTACTGTAGAACCCAAAATATGGTGTGAGAAGTATATTCTAATAAATACAAATTCTTGATGTAGCTTTTGTACTTAAACACGCACCTGTACAATGGCAGTTCTTTGTCATCACGAAGGATGTAATCCTAGAAAGAAAAGGACTGTCAGTATTCCAATCTTTATTTAAGCATAAACTCTTTTCAGAAAAAAAGTATCAGCTAATTAAATGAAGAAGGAATCAACCAGTAGCAACAGGGTCAGCCAGCTACCTGCGTAAAAATTGCCTTTGCTTCTGATATCTTTAACCTCATCGCTATTGCAGGTGCAGCAAAACTGTCTGCAATTGAGACAACCACATATCCCGCCAACACAATTGCAAGGTAGATCACAACAGCATTGACATCCATAGGCATGTCAATAGCAATTGCAGATCCCTTTGGCAGTTCCAGGGCATCAAGTGCATTCGCCACGAGGCTGCTCTAGACATAGCAAGACAAATTGGTTATGGGATCAGATTATGATGAATCAAAAGCATGCCTAAGATCAAAACTAGTAATACTTAGAGCAGGATATGGTTACCCACCAAACTTTCTTCCTCAATTCCTCTAGGGACATAAAGTTCAGAGGCTCAGAATCCTTCCCCTCATCCCTCCATACAATGGCTGGACTGTCGGAGCTCCTCCCGGGTTTAGCAGTCAAGCAATTCGCAGCAGCGTTCAGCTCGGCGCCTGGTAGCCACTCGCCACCGGGATACGCAGCGCTCTCTCTCCAGATGCAGGATGGCTCTACACTGAATTCGACATCCATCTCCTCAAATACCATCTTCCAGTACGCCTGTCCTTGGAACCCACGGATCGATATGAGACAGTAAGCTCACTTTTGCAACAGTAACAAGCAGCGAAGGGAAGCAAACAGTAGTAGTAGTAGTAGCTTATATCACCTCTGGGTTCTCGTTGGAGAACTTGTGGAGGTCTGGGAAGCTGGTGATGGGATCCTTGTACGCGTCGCCGATGAAGTCCTTCCCGCGCGCCTCCAGGACACGGCCGACATTGGTCAAGGCAGCCTCCTTGCTGAAAATTTGTTTCCCGCAAAAATCAGCAGGATTCAGAAGGGGTAAAAAAATATCTTTGAGGCGAGTTTGTTGAACGGAAAAATATCGGAGCTTTACGGGTCGGGGGTCCAGGCCGGCGGCGTCGGGGACGGGAACCCGGCGAAGCAGCCGTAGTAGAGCATCCGGTGGACGGCGAAGGGGACGGACGGACGGAGCACGGACCGGCAGAGGTCCCCCCACACCGCGGCGGGGCCGTGCGAGTCGAGCGCGCGCCGGAGCGCCGAGTGGAGCGCGGTGGCGTCCGACCCAGGCGCCGCCGCGGCGAGGTCGTCGGCGGTGATCGCGCCCAGGGGCTTGTGCAACGCGGCGGCCATGGCGTGCCGCTGCTACAGCTGCTGCTGTTCAGCAGAAAGATGAGATGCAAGGCAGAATTTCTTTGCGGAATAGTTGTAGAAGAAGAAGATAGAATTGTCGAACCGGTGTACCAACCTGGCGAGCAACCTCACAGCGATCAGCTCACGGAGACCTCATTTAAATGCAGGACGTAAAATCTATCATATTTGGTGTCGTATGGGCCGTTTGCTAATAAAAAAACAAATTATAAAATCTATTGGTCATCGTCGAGACAAATTTAGTAAGCATAATTAATCAATCATTAGCATATGTGTTACGGTAGCATCACATTGAATCATGAACTAATTAGACTTAAAAGATTCGTCTCGCAAATTAATAGCAAACTGTAAAATTAGTTCTTTTTTAGTCTATATTTAATACTCCGTGTACGTGTCCAAACTTTCGATGAGATAGGAAATAAACTTTAGAGAGAGTAAGGTCTTTATTTAAATCCAGGACTAAAGTTTAGGGGTGTCACATCGTGTGTCACATAGGGATCACATAGGAGTATTCGGATAGTAATAATAAAACAAATTATATAAGTCATCAATAATTCGTGAGACGAATTTATTAAGCCTAACAAATCCGCCATTAGCACATACGTTATTGTAGCACTACATTATCAAATCATAGATTAATTAGGCTTAAAAAATTCGTCTCGTAAATTAGTCGTAATCTATGTAATTAGTTATTTTTTAGTCTATATTTAATACTTTATGCATGTGTCAAACATCTAATGTGATAGAGACTAAAGTTTAGAAAGGAAAACAAACGAGACCTAACTAAACAAGGCCCGGGACAGAGGGAAAGCTCAGATAGAGATGTACTCCTACTCCAACAATACTAGCAGTTGTATAAATATATTTTGTCAAAATTATTTCTCGAAAAGCAAAAACGATAAATATTTTGTGACGGACTACTCCCTCTGGTTCATTTTATCTGACGCAAGTTAGAAGGACAAGTTCACCTAGATTACACTTTTGTTTATATTATATTATTTATGCTTATAAATTTATAATCATTGATAGTATAAATCCTTATAAATCTAATCATATAAAATTTGTATTATAATAATTAAAAATCATTAGTCTAATTATTAGTTAAAGTTTAAATCTTAATATTTATGTGCGCTAGATAAAATGGATCGGAGGGTAACGTACAATAGACAAGTGGCCGAGAAAAATATGATATCCCACATTCTTTACGTGGCACGAGGCACGAGCAGGGTGAGATTTGCTCCGTTAACGTCTTCATATAGCCCTTTTTCTTTCAAGTTTTGTGACTCAAGTGGACTCTTTGATTCTATCTGACGCCGAGCCTAGTATGCCAAAGAGGTATCGCTCTATACCCTGTGATTGTTCTGATTTTCAATTGTTTCTGTTTGAAATAAGGTAGTGATGGTTGTCTCGCCACTTTACGGTGGTTTTTTAGGCAGTAGCAACATGGACATATAAACCTGGTAGCCCGAGCCAAAAGTAGTGATACACATAGGCATTGGTGGTCCTGGGGTCTCCAAACTCCTAACGCACTGAGCTCTCTCTCTGCTATGATTCCAAAGCCTAAACCACACGCCTTCTCAGACAAACGGATGATAGGGCCTCTCAGTTTTGTTTCCAACGCGCGTCAAATGGGTGCTCTGAACTTTTGTCAGAGGAAGTGATAGATGCCTTTGTAGGCACACTGATATGCTGCGAAGCTACTAGGCCTTGTTTAGTTCGCGGTTAGAAATTAGTATTCGGCACTGTAGCACTTTCGTTTGTATTTGACAATTATTGTTCAATCATGGTCTAACTAGGTTCAAAAGATTCGTCTCGTAATTTACAATCAAACTATATAATTAGTTATTTTTTATCTACATTTAATACTCCATACATGTATCCAAAAATTTGATGTGATGAAGAGAGAGTGAAAAAACCTGGAATCTAAACAAGGCCCTACTGAGGGTAACATGGACACCAGAGGCAGTACGCCACCATGGAGCGATGAGGAAGCCTTTACCGGCTGTCTGTACCATGCCCTAGCTTTAGGTCAGTTTCGGTATCCGGCTTTTTACCTAGAGGAGCTTGAAGACAATTGTGGACGGTGACATCTCGCTCTATTTAGGCATCATTCTAGATCTAGAATTTAACAAAGATAAGCATATACACGTGTGATCTTGTTTTATAGAAAATGACTAGTGCTCCTACCATGCTAAGCAACGTGCTCACTAAATAAAAAGACATAACAACCAGAATAATTACTCTGCACCGGTGGCGTCATTCTCATCAGTTGACATAATGAACTTGTTGATGTCGTGAATCATGATCGATGCAAGATGAGGCAGTGGTGGAGCTTGAACTAAAATCGAGGGGACCAATCAAACTTGAAGTACAAATAGAGGGAGCTAAATTAGCTATTGATCAATATTCAACTGGTGGAATTAATTCCTTTAATAAATTTTCTAAGTTAAGGGGGGCCATGGTCTACTTTAGCCTACACAAAGCTCCGCCCCTGAGATGTGAGATACGATGTGTCATCCCATAAATGTCCACCAGAAAGTAATCAATTCGGCTGTGTACTAGATTGCACCACGAAACATCTAGCAGGAAGCAATCAACCATGTAGTGTAGCAAAGACACTAATCGTCCAATTAAACAGTCACCCTCCACACTCTCCAAAAGCTCTGCAGACTCAGGAGGCTTGCTCGCTGAAGACCTATGCGCATAGGTGTTCTCGATCGAGGAAAGCAGAGAGCAGCAACAACAGAGAACAATAGTGTTCGAGCATCTGTTCACGTGCAAAGTCAGGACGAGATGCCCTTTTCATATAGCCATATAGGCGCCATGAAGCGAACCCCGACGGGCGGGGGACACACCTAAACGTCATCAATTCTCATGACAGTTACCGATAATGACGGTCATGATGGTCTTGATGAGTCTTAGTAGGGATGCAAGCGGCCTAGCCTGCAAACCTACATATGAGCTTAATTTTATAATTTTATAGGTTGCTCGTGCAAGCCACAAAATTAAGCCTATATACGGATTCAAGAGGCTAGCCTACTTACATCTGTATTTATCAAGTGTCATCAATACACTCCAGACACATTATGCTCATGCCACGGCTTGGCTCACGCAGGTGTGGCATGCATGTCATCTCTCTCAACTTCACAACAGGTACAAAAATAGTCATCGATTTAAGTTGAATTAACCCTTAGTCAAAATCTCATGTGAAACTCACTACTACAGAAAAGGTTTATAGCAACGTGACATTTTTATAGGGGCGACTGGTGATGGAGCCGCCCCTACAGTTGGTGTGCTCAGGACCCACGAGATCAGCCGTCCCCTACAAATAGCACAGTAAGAACGGCAGGTGATACGAGCCGCCCCTACAAATGGGTCGATTTGTAGAGGCGGCTCACTCATCAGCCGCCCCCACTATTACGATTTGTAGGGTGGCTCAATCACCAGTCGCCCCTACAAATGCTCCACGTATAAAAGATTGCAACCCTCTTCTTCCTCCTTATGTCACTCACTCTTACCCGAGAAAAAGGCTTGGGAGGCCTTGGGCACCACCTAAAAATTGTTCTACAAAGATGGAAAGGTTTTGGTCTTAAATTCTTTGGTGGAGAGGTTGTAGAAGGTAAGAAAATGCTATTCCAAACTTTTTTAAAAGTTTTAATGGTTGGTTAGTGAGTAATTAGAGTTTTGCTTTTCTCTCTCTTCTACGGTGCTTGAGCTACTTATGAAGCAAATTAGACCCAAATTTTGAATGTACTAGGGTAAATTAAGTAGGGAAATAAGATCATACCCTTGTTTGGTCGATGTTTCTTGATTTTAGTGAACAATTAGTTAGTTTTATAGATGTTTCATGTGCATCTAGATCTAGATCTAGATCTAGGTTTTTTTATTAATTTCATTTTTATAAATTTATGTTTCATGAAATTGGACTAGGGTTTGTATGAAAGATATTGGGTAAAATATTAATTGTTGCTAATTGTTATCTTTGAAATTATTTATTGTAATCAACAAATATGTATTTTTTAATTATTTATGCATAAATAGGCCATTAATTAATTATCCTCTACCATGGTGTGTTTGATATGCTTCATGTAATTATATTTGATTTATATTTATATATATCTGAAGTATATATAATTATTGTTGAGTAATTATTAATTTGATTCCTTTATATATATATATCTGAATAAGTAGTCCTTTAATGTATTTTCTTTGGTTGTTGTTATAAAAGATGGAGTACAGGAACTCTTGGATGTATGGTTAGTTAAGGTTCAAGGCAGGTTTCCATGAAGAAGTGGATAAATTTATTGAAGCCGCAGAGAAGTATGCAACGACGTTGATAGAAAACAAGGATACAATTATTTGTCCCTATAAAGATTACAAGAACCTTATCGCATGGACAAATATGACTATCACCAGATCACATTTGATTATACGAGAATTTGTTAAGGACTACACAGTGTAGATTCATCATAGTGAAACGATTGTTGTTAACGTTGACGATGAGGAGGAAGACGACGACGGAACCCTAGAATCTCTCTTCCAATATTCAGTAGAGCTTGATGCACGAATGGATCCCGAGTTTGGCAATGAACAAGGTGGTGATGCTGGTGGTTGGAATGGTAACGACGAAGATTGTGCCAATAATGATGGCGGAGCACGTGTCGGGGATAAAAATGATTATGATGATTTGGAGGAAATGATTTGGACCCTTGGACCAGAGATTTTACTAAAGAGCCTGAAAGGTCTAGAAAATTTGAAAAGAGTGAAAAAATCATCGAAGGAGACTATGTATGGTGTTGAAAAGGGTTGTCTGACACACTGGACAGTGCTATATTTTGTGCTTGAGCTATTCATCCTGAAGGCTAAGTACGGCTGGTCAGATTGTAGTTTCAATGATCCATTGCATCCCCTGTCATGGTTGGTGCCACAACCAAACTCAGTTCCCGCCAATACATACCAAATGAAGAAGGTTATAAGTCCAT